GCGATACCGGTGCGATGCTCTACCAACTGAGCCATGAAACCACACATTGGGAGCGAGGTTAATTGACCTCGCTCCCAATGTGTGGCTTCATAGCTCAGTTGGTAGAGCATCGCACCGGTATCGCGGAGGTCACGGGTTCGAATCCCGTAGAAGCCCTGATTTTTTCAGGCTTCTCCTTTCCAATTGCTTAAATTGGAAAATTTACTCCAATGATCATTCTTCACTTTCAAAACTCTCATGTCATACTCAGGAAATTTGAAATACTGTGCACTGGTCTTCCAAAGTGTTTGGTAACCATGAGAAATTTTCAAACAAAAGGTTTGCACAAATTTCAAAAACTTCAATCTGATTTTCAGGCAGTACAGGTCATGGCCAGAAGCATTTAGCAATAGAAAAAATCAGTGACCCTTGGACACCTTGTGAAATTGAAAATCTTCCCAGTGATTTTATAGTAAAGCTAGCCATACATGTATAATATACTGCCCTAAAATACAGCAAGATATTAGAGAAGAAAAGAGAAATTATACACCAAAAAGTACGCCATCTGTGTTTTTATCCCCATTCTCATTACAAGTGTTATCAAAATGATACGTTTAGAAAAAAAAAATGGCTGTCTTTTATTTGCCAGTATCCACTAATAAACAACAGTCTTATACATGTAACTAGTGAATACAGTGCACATATATCAAATGTTGTATAGCACTATAAGCAATGTCATACTTGGTTTGTTTGGATGATACTGCAAAACTCTGGCAAAAACTTTTCCAAGAATCCTTACACTCCCCTAAGAACAAGAGACAGTAAATATTTGTATAATTGTCAATTTGAATAACAGTAAGTAGCTGAAATTAAAGTACAAGTACTTGACTGTTCGATTGTATATCTGACACAGATGTGCATGCAATGCGACTCAAAAGACTGATTAAATTTATTTATAACAACTGAAAGTTATTTGCATCGAAAATATCTACATATAGGGTGCCAGCAAGGGAGAACTTAATCCTCATGAACATATGAACAAAGCCTGAAATCAAAATTAAATTAGAAACAGCCCTAAGAAAATAGGGAGGTGCGGTGGCCTCATGGTTAGTGCGCTCGTTCCCGGAGCGAGCGGTCCGGGTTCGAGCCCTGGCTGGGGACACTGTGTTGTGTTCTTAGGCAAGACACTTAACTCTCACAGTGCCTCTCTCCACTCAGGAGTATAAATGGGTACTGGCGAATTGTTGGGGACACCTAACAAATTGCGGGGGAGTGACCTGCGATGGACTAGCATCCCGTCCAGGGGGAGTAGAAATACTCCTAGCCGCTTCATGCTACAGAAACCGGGATAAGCTCTGGTATCTATGAGCCATTCGGCTCCAAGGCTTCACTTCACTTCTAAGAAAATATGCACGCTGACTGGTTAAAAATCGTGTTTCTATAACACGATGGAAACACAGAACTAGCACGAGCTGTTGACATGATGATGGCGCAAGCAAAGAGAATTTACATTTTGATGATCAAAGTAAACAAGCTGTTTTTCTTTTTTTGTCGCGGTGTTTTCTAGAAGAAATATAAAACANGGCGAATTGTTGGGGACACCTAACAAATTGCGGGGGAGTGACCTGCGATGGACTAGCATCCCGTCCAGGGGGAGTAGCAATACTCCTAGCCGCTTCATGCTACAGAAACTGGGATAAGCTCTGGTAGCTATGAGCCATTCGGCTCCAAGGCTTCACTTCACTTCTAAGAAAATATGCACGCTGACTGCTTAAAAATCGTGTTTCTATAACACAATGGAAACACAGAACTAGCACGAGCTGTTGACATGATGATGGCACGAGCAAAGAGAATTTACATTTTGATGATCAAAGTAAACGGTGTTTTCTAGAAGAAATATAAAACATGTTCTCCACGTTTCTATTGAGTTATAGAAACACTCATGAAAGTTTGGGAGAACTCAAAAAAGCTGTGGAAACACTTGCCTGCGGCTCATGCTCCCACAGCATTTCTCGTTCTCCCAAACTTCCACTCACCCTACATGTATAACTCGATAGAAACATGGTACATGTTTTCTATTTCTTTAATAATATAATATTATCTAGATTACAAAACAAACAAAATAACACATACTACATGTAATTAAATTCCTACCATGTGTTTACAGAACTCAATGTACTGAATCCAGAGTTTGATGTCCCCCTAGGATCAAAAAGAAAATCAATACAATTTCATACAATTTCATATAATTATGTACATTTTTGTATGATCTGTGAAAATCTACATGTACTTTATGTAACAATTTAAGTTCCCACTAACCATTTGTTAGGCTACTTAGATAGAGGAATTAAAACATATTAAAGTAAGTTAAGCTCTCAGGAGCCAACAAGTTATCAGTTAAGTTACTAGACCAGTCAGTATCAGTGAATAAGTCACTTGTAGACCTGCGAAGAAATGTAGATGGAACATTGGAAGCATGATTGTCAAAATGTGGCACTTTTTTTTTTAATTTATTTACTCTGTCATATTACAATACAATTACAGAATATTTACGTTACAAAACTTACAGTTTACAACACAATACTAAAATCGACTTATACTTTGCTAAATTCCGAGTTTACAATTATCACTTACAAAATGTTATTTTACATAAATGTAACCTACTTACAGTACTCTACTTACTACATACGACATTACCTACAGTACTTCCAAAACCTTGCATAAAATTACTGAGTTACACAAAATATGCTTTATTACTAACATATATCACTTACAACACATTACATCACCTCGTGTAAGTAAGAAATATAATGTATTGTAAGTAAGTAAATATGGCACTTACCAAAAATTTCTTCAAGGCATTCTGCAAGGAAAAACAGTAAAGTGAATTATAGAACACATAATAACATATACAATGTATATAGCAATGAAAACAAGCATTAGCCATGAGGCAAATTCATCTCCCTTGATTTACCGGTAAACTTAAACTTACCTGAAAAAGACTGTGCATTCTTCTCAATACCGCATGCTCTCCATGTAAATTCCGTTTAATACCAAGTCTCTGAAATATAACATTTAAAATGAAATACACCATGCACATGTATTATCTGATAGAAACATACTGACACTAAACAGGAATACAGCACTTGTACATAATCATAATTCCTTGTGTGTAGACTATGAGTAGTCCCTCTTTCGCTTAGTCCATCGTGCGTAACGCAAAAGAAAACCGCGAGAAAAAAATGGCCACACAAAATCCTGGGGGCGAGGAGCGTGCGAAAGGAGGGACTACCGCCTAAGCCCTAGAGTTTGAATTATGCGTTGCTCTCACAACGCAAAAATATGATTGGCTTATGTTAGGAGCGTTGACAACGTGTTGTACTTCTCACGGTTTTCTTTCGCATTACGCACGACGGACTAAGGGAAAGAGGGATTACTCGTAGTCTACCCTGTGTGACACAACTTCTACATTGTACTTTAGCACCCATACCCAAAAAAGAACATAAATAGCTTATACATGTCGGTAGAAATGATCCATGGAAGAGAGCTGTATTATATACACGTGTGCTACAAAACATTACCATCAACTGGGGAATATTTGCAAGAAAACAAGTATATATAATATGCAACTACAAGTATATAAAAACAAATTCAGTCCTCTATCCTCAAACCTTGAATGCAGCCACACATGTATACATATGTTTGCAACAAACTGCAAATAAAAGTGTAATTCATATGTTATGCAACTTAGGTTCTCACCAACTTTCTTTTCTTCTTCAGCAAATCCAGGTTAATCTCATACTATAATGAACAGAAAACAAAACCAGCAAAAGAATACTTAATAACTAAGACACTTTGTCAGAAATTACAACTCTAACTTGAAAGTAAGGGACGCTGAGGCTATATTCATTTATTATGTTTCTAGTTTCATCATCAGTAGCATGGCAACATAGCTGCTTAATATATTCTAAAGATCTGAAGATTTTTGAAGTTATTACTGGTAGTACTTATTGTGTATGCACACTACAGTAACCTTGATACACTTTAGTTTGATTATTTTAATATTTGCATTATGTACTGCAGATAGAAGAATCTCTAGCCACTTCATGCTATGACTGTAGAAACTAAGATACATGTTAGAGCCAGTTCTAAGACTGTCATCAAAGGCCCTAACCGGTAACTCCTTATTATGGCTGAGTATACGTGATGGGCCCTTGATGTTACAGTTGAACTTGACTGTTGGTGATGCAATATTCACCACTAAAGTAACAGGGTAGTTACAGTATACATGTATGAGTATGAAGATCAAGGCAAGGGGTGACTCAAAACATAACGACAGTCCTTGGGCTGTGGACCAACTTGGCCCAGGCACAGACATGCATTTAAATCAGAGTAAATGAAATCTATTGGTTTACAGCAAAAGAAATATCAGTCAGACCACCACATAAAATGTCTATACAACATGGAATCTACATAATACCTGCATGTATCTTAGAAAATCTGTCTTCTGGACAATCCTCTTCTGCAAGCGGTATTCAAACTCTCTTCTCTTTCGAATGATAGTCCTGTATAGTGATATTATCGTAGCAAAATGGTTTACCTAAGTCCTCAGTGTTTTTATAAAGATTTAAATTTTACAGTATAGCCAGGTTGGGAATCTGTAGCTCTATCTCGTCTTATCTGCAGCATAAGATGATCATATTGTCTATGCAAGTGCTTGTTACACTGTTTAATTAAGTTGAACCATGATATATTGACTCGCTGATTTCAACCGATGAAGATGCTGATACCCAAAGGGTGACTGAAATCATGCAAGTCATACTAAAGCAGACTAAAAGACAACAACAGAAGCCTTACAATGTAATAATTATTTATAAGCTTTATAAGCTTATAAAAAGCTAATATATTAAGCTTAGTAAACAACGACACAAACTTCAAACCCTCGCTTACTTTGTCTCTACTTTTGGGAAAGACAAACTTTACTTGTATTGTAAAAACAACGCTTTCAAATTATGCAGTAATGGCGTTATTCGATTCAAATAAACATGTTAAATTCCTCACCTGATTTCATCGCTTGAAAACACTCCCATCCGCTCCAATTCCTCCAGTTCAGGCAACATGCCCTCCAGATTTTGATGAACATATTCTGCCATCGTGAAACTCTCGTGCAACAAGAAGCACAACTCTAAATTCTAGGAGTAAAGATCTGAACCAAACTTCTCACTTCGTCCACCATGTGTAATTCCTACACTTTTCTTTGAGACACCGCTGACAAGCATATGATTTTTGTTATCATCTTATATGAAGCGGTAGGCGCCGACTAGGAAAATCAAGGCACTAACTGACTGCTGGCGCATCCTTGATGGACACAGCGTGCCGCAATAATTTTGCGTTTTTTTGCGGTTTTTTCCACGTTCCGCAAATAAAAGTTCCCGCATAAATTTTCTTCAAAAACTTTTACTCCACAGTCGAACCTCCCGTAAGCGCTTACGAGAACTTAGACTATATTGGGTCAAAATTTTACCTCATTAGCTTATAGTAACTGCAGAGGCTTATTCATAAAAAAAAAAAA